GGAGGGACATGACATAGAGGTTCAGTAGGTGATCATGAAATATCAAACCAAACCAAGCCTTTGTAGTAGGGAGGTATCGAACATCGAACTGGTATATTTAAGTGTTTTACATTCACAAAAAAGAAACGTATCATTCTATAGATATTTGAAGAACTTGTAGCATTCCGCCAAAATTTAATAATTGTTCTGCCAAAAAATAGTCCGTGTCTGTTGATAATGACGGACATATTTTCGTATTTTTCGAGAGCCGAATATGATCAACGCCGCGTGAAGGAGGTATACGCTCTACAGAGTGCCCTCTAGTTTTCCTTATTACACTAACCTCATATCTTTTATTTTCTTTTCTTTTTTTTTTAGCTCGCTTGTAGATGAAGATGTGTAACAAAGCCATTCTTGCACTGGCGGTTTTGATAGCTTTCTGTAATATTGTGAAAACTTCATCATTAGTTCACGACATTGCCCAGCGATCCCTGAGATGTGCTGGATATGGCGCAAGGGTAAGTAAAAACACTGCCTAAGAAGCGTGTTTTTATAATTATTTATCCTCAACGTTAAATATAAATTTTGAAATTAGACTTTGCCTTTGATTCGTCTAAATCTCGATAGAGGTTCTTATAATATTTTCGTTTAACAGATAAACGAATAGCACCACTATGGAAAACACCAAGCTCTGTTTACGCATGCGTACTAAGACTAACAAAAAAAATGTAATCATGTTATTTGAATGCACGTGACTTGTGTCGAATACTATATACTGACATTTAATCAGCCTTCTGGAATTAAAATAGAACATTAAAAATGTGTAGATAAAAATAACGTATTACTTTTTGTTTTAATTATTGAATAATTAATTGTTCATAACAACATGTATCTTTTTAAGTTAAATGACCAAGAAAATATTGGTACAAATAAAATGCTGTTACAAGCAGACGTTTCGAGTGAAAGACGTAACTTACGTTTCTAATTAGGAAAATTATGTTTGATTAATAATCTCTCGTGCGAGAGATTTTACAAAACTTCACTTTTACGTTTTAATGGCTAGAAAACATACTTGCTAAGTTTTCTCTCCGTGATAACATGTATTTTAAAATCTTAAATCATATGACTTTGTAGTCTTTAATAATGAAGTTATTTGTTTGTTTTACCAACAGTGTAGCCCTTGGAGGTATCCTCGGTGTTGCTGGCCTTTAAAGTGCACCCGTTTAAGATGTTACCGTGGCTTCAGAAACGGATGATCTTATGGTGTTTGTGTGGTCGTCTCGTCATATGCTTCTTCAGTTATAGCTGTTTTATATAATTGTTATTAAAACGGGTTGAATAAAAAGATAATTGTACTGCATCTATTTCCAGTGATGGATTATATGTCTTTGCACAGAAATATAACATGGTTAAACGCTGTATAGACACACGTTTGTTCTGAAAAACATATAGCAACAACAAAGTGATTATACCAGAACGTATTAAACTTTAACACTAGGTGAAACTCGTATCATTAAGTGTTTAGTTCAACCTTAGTATTCTAACACGACTGTTATATATTTTGAAACAGACATACGTTAATCATAGAATCGTCCATATTTTTTTTTTATATCTATCAGCTTTATTGTTATTATTTTTTCACCTATAGTTTGTGGTCCGGCATGGCCAGGTGGTTAGTGCGCTCGACTCGCAATCTGAGGGTCTCTGGTTCGATTCCCTGTCTACTCAAACATGATCACCCTCTCAGCCATTGGGCGTTATAATGTGACGGTTAATCCCACTATTCGTTGGTAAAAGAGTAACCAGGCGGTGGGTGGTGATGACTAACTGCTTTCCCTCTAGTCTTTCGTTGCTAAATTAGGGACGGCTGACGTAGATAGTTTATGATTATATAGAGATCTTGACGGTTAATCCCACTATTTGCTGGTAAAAGAGTAGCCGGGTGGTGATGACTAGCTGCTTTCCTTCTAGTCTTTCGTTGCTAAATTAGGGACGGCTAACGTAGATAGTTTATGATTATATAGAGATCTTGACGGTTATCCCCACTATTTGCTGGTAAAAGAGTAGCCGGGTGGTGATGACTAACTGCTTTCCCTCTAGACTTTCGTTGCTAAATTAGGGACGGCTAACGTAGATAGTTTATGATTATATAGAGATCTTGACGGTTAATCACACTATTTGTTGGTAAAAGAGTAGCCGGGTGGTGATGACTAGCTGCTTTCCCTCTAGTCTTTCGTTGCTAAATTAGGGACGGCTAACGTAGATAGTTTATGATTATATAGAGATCTTGACGGTTAACCCCACTATTTGCTGGTAAAAGAGTAGCCGGGTGGTGGGTGGTGATAACTTGGTGATTTTGGACTACTGACCAAAGGAAGGGAAGCTAGCCAGTAACACCGCAGTCACCAGAAGGGCTTTGTAGTGCTCTTTCACACGGGATTGACTGTCTCACTTATAACGATTACTCAGCGGTAAATAGATCTATACAAGATTACAACTTCTTGTTGCTTTATAAACATTTTAAATAAAACTCTCTCTGCTTCATGTAAACTAAGAAGGAAAAAATTATGAGCGAATTTCCTAAAATATTTCAAAATACAGTTTGATATATAGTGGCAATTGAATAGCTAATTTCAAAAATAAAATTATACCGACATGAAACAACAACAGATTATTACTTCGTCACTGATTTTCTGTAAAAGTAGGCGTTTATGTAAATTATAGAAAAACAAGTCATTTCGAAACCTAAAATAATTCTCTTAATTAGTGATTCAAATAAATATATACAACTAATCTTGTAGTTTTTGAAACATAATTAGAGTTTCAAATCAAGAACAGGTTTTTGTTAAGTTTAGAAGAAAATGCCCTTTTAACTAATTAATTAATTCGTAATTTTATTTAGCGACACGGCCTTTAATGCCTAACCTGGTGTCAACATTGTAGGAAGACCTTTTTGTTTACACTCGAAACTTCTTCGCCACAAAACTGTTCTAAATGTTGAAAAAGGCTTATCCCCACAGTGAATTATTATTATTATTTGTAATTTAAAATAACTGAAAGGATCAAACCTTCTGTCGAAACAGTTCGTATTTATTTAAATTTAGTTCGCACTAACCAGCATTTCATATATCTTTAGAAGGTTTCTGACTGTAAGTATCACAGCAGGAGCTTAATGAGTTTATCAGGTACATAACGGACATAATACATTTCTTATAACGATTCTCATGAAAA